CAGTTTTGTAATTTTAAGAGTTTCTCAGCAGATAGAAAAATCAACAGCCAATGGTTGGCGCTAACGTTTATTTAGGATAATATGTTCCATTTGAGAATTTGATCAGGTATTGAGTGTATAAAATAAAATTTACCGAGGGAAACTCTAACACGAACCCATTACTCATTAGTTTCTTGATTTTATTTCCAGTTTATTTATTTCAAAACGAACAGTAAAAATCAATATTTTTCTTTTAGCTAAAGCTAAATTATAAACTTTTTACAGTTACAAGGTAAGTTCTTTACTTACATATGTGATTTATAGTCGGTTATATACAGAAATAACATTATTACGTTGCAAAATATAATACGTGCTTAAGAATTAATCAGCAGGCGTAGGTTATTATTTTAGTTTAATTATTAAACTAGATTTAATTTAATATTTAATTTGATAAAAGTTTCGAGAAGAAAATCAGGTTGGCCAAGATTGAATTTAAAACAATCTTTAACATCGTCCAGCAAATTTCTTTTGTTTTTATCTATTGATTACATAATATAACTCTATAATATAGGTTGTGTAAGCGCACTTTTAAAATGGGTTGGTTTAAATATCAAATTAAAAAAAAAAATGGTAATAATCACGCGTATCGATAAACAGAAGGGTTAGAAGTAATATGTAATTATTTTAAATCTGCTAGAATGCTAGATATACATATAAATTGTAGTCATTTTGTATACGATTTAACATAAAAACTATACACATTTATTACACAATGAATTGTTTAATATTTGTTTTAGGAAATGAAAATGTATTTAGCTTGTTATGTTCTGGATTCATAATATTATTATATAATAGAATTTAATATTATCAATTATTTATTGAACATTAATAGTTTTTTCAGTAAAAGACTAAAACTAAAAATAATAATGAAATATGATCCAAATAGTATAAGTACTATAGTATTGCCTGGTATACAATTAGGTATTTATTGTTACTTACTGTTCGAATATTTAATGATTGGTTATTTTATAAGACTCAAGGTGATCGGTAAATAATGATAATTAACCGGTCAATGTTTAAAATCTTAATACGTTTTATGACACATAATTATGTTATGATATTGATGTATTTTATCTAGAAATTATTATAAATTCAGTATAAATATATTATGATTTATGTTACTATGTTAGTATTAGGTAATTAACAAAAAACATATAATAATGAATTAAACGAGAGGAAAAAATAAAAATAAGGTTCTTATGTTTGCTTTTCTATTCCTTTATCTAAAAATCAAGGCAGTGTAATGTGCATTAACAAGTTAAAATCTTAAACTTATGTTCCCATTATTTAAGATTCATTTTTAACTATGTATATAAATTTAAAACATAGGTAAAATTTGAAATTTATAAGTATGAACACACAATTTTGAACTAAATCGTTGTACATTTAAGAAAATAAAATAAAATAATTATTATTATCAAATTATTACGACGGATCATTTTAATGTTTTTGAGATGGTTATATAAGTGAAGCGCTAAGTATAAAAAAAGAGCGCCTTAAAATGGGCACATAGATAATACAATATACGACAACTTGACAGGATGCAACACAATTCAGAACAAAAATTTCTCGAGAAAGCATACCAAATTTGTTGTAAAAAAAATATACAAAAATACAACCATTTAATTAGAATTTTCACGTCGTTGTGCATGCTGTATTTTTCAAATCATTTTGAACAATATCAACCGAGTTATAGACAATATAACTAGAAATTATTTTTAACATTGTATTAGATAATATTCCTTACAGCCCGAATTGCAATACACTATCCGACACCAAAGGCAACCAATATTGAATAATAAAAAAAAAATTACTAATTTCTTCTATTACCCATTTATAAATATATAAATTTATTGTATAAAATAATTTTAAAAAGAATAATGAAAAAAAATATCATTGTAAAACCGATATGTTCCCGAAATAATAAGGTATCAACAAAAAAAGAGTGATATCCTCTTAAAAACGCACCACCCAACTCCGGGTAAAAAATCACCAAGTTTAAAAAAAAAAGCTCTAAGAGTTGTGATATCATTTTATAGCTAAGTCTTTGAAAAATATATTTATGTTAAAATAGTCTGCTAAATAATTGAACTTGGCTTGGCAACTACAGTTAACAATTTAAAAATACTATAGCATAATGAGTACATAATAATATAGTCTAAAATCATTGAAATAGGTAGTGTATTATGACTTATCAAGTGTTTCAAAGTCACCAGGCTAAGTACAATTTGCAGACTATTTAAATATAAATTATATCTATGGTTCAAATACTTAGCTATAAAATGATATCGCAACTTTTAACGCCGTTTTTTTTATACTTAATGTGTTTTTTTACCTGGAGTTTGATGGTGTGTTTTTAAGAGGATATCACTCATTTTTTTCGATACCTTATTATTTTGGGAACATATTGGTTATAAAATTATGTTTTTTTTTCTTTTGAAAATAAGTTTATATATTTATAAATGGGTTACCATTGTTTTCAGATTATAATTAATAGTAATAGAAGAAATTAGTAATACTTAGCCATTTTTTACACGTAGTCTGGCTGAGTGTTTTTGTTGGGATATTATTAATTAACGATAACAAATTATGTATAGCACACATTGATTAAAAGTTAAAAAATAACTATGGAATAATTTGTTTTAAACGAATTGGTATTTGAACAGATTTTTAAAATCTAAATTAACGTCAGTTGATTTGTATATGTATATTTCGATTTTTATCTTACAAATTACAATAATATCTCAGAGAAAATATTGGATATATTTTTTGGAAAATGTACGGTAGAAGTTTCCATGAACCACAAATTGAATCTTCCAACCTTTCTTTCGTATAAAATACAAAAATAAAGACAGTTGTGAATTTGAATTTAGTAAGTTATTGCTTGACTCTTGTGTGTTAGAAGCCAGATATCTGACATAATGGTTCTTTGCGATCTAATAAATGGTTTTATTGATCGTGTGAAATTGTTTTGTACGGTGTAAGGTTTCTGATTAACATTTCCACAATATTACATACAATATATATACACCATTAAAATAATGTATTATTTGTCGTCATAAGAACAAAAAAAAATACATTAATATATGTATATGAGCAGCAAACATTTTTCCAACAAATTTGTATATTAATTTCACACATAGCGTACCTACTTACACCGTATCGAATAACTTGAAGTTTTTATGAAACTCGACCTTCGAGTAAAATAATAAAATATTGTAAAATTATACATTATTATTATTATTATTATTATTACATTAATATTTTTGACGTTCAGACGCCTATAGATAGAGCGTAGGTATGATTATTATAATATTCTTTAAAATGTTTTTATTTTTCCACCCTATTAAGGCGTGCCTAACTTAGTATAATATTTAATATGCGTCCACGCAAATGTATATATGGTCCGAAAATGTTCCTGGCCATGGTCGGGTCATCAATCAAACAAAACTTACGCATTAATTCACGACCGCACATGAAAAATATATATTGTATACCTACCTAACCTATACGTGGTCGTGGTCGTGGAATGGTGCAGGTCGTATACCACGTCACAAGCTGTAAACAAACGTAGCACCCAACAGAGCGCCGCTGAAACCGTATGAACAGAGAGCGCTGGGAATAAAACATTTGAAAATTAAAACAGCCATCACCCCCCTCCCCCTCTCCACGGCGCAGCTTGACATAACGCGTGAGCTCGCAATATTTTACGAATAATATATTATACACTTTTTAATATTATTATATGCCTAACAATATAATAATATGATAAAATGTGTACGTATTTTGTATGGGCCGTGTACACTACACGTCGCGTTCGAGCCGGACTCGAGTATTCACTCGGTGTCACGACCAGCGAGTGTATAACGTCCTCGTAACCCTTTTTATCGTCGCGGTTTTGGAAATTAGGCCTGCGGGATTACGCGAGTGGTGGTGAGGGGAGGTCGATTCTGTGTGGAAAAATAAAAAAATAAGGACGATTTATGCGCATACAAATAATGTTATGATAAACCTACGGGTGGTGGCGATGGCGGAAACCGGAGGGGAAAATCTAACAGCAGAGAGCAATACTCGCGTATAAAAATAAATATATTATATACCACTACGTAATTAAAATTTAACCACATCCCATATTATTCGTCATCATAAAAATAATAATAATAACTGACGTTGGTCAAAACCGATTGTCCGAATATGCGTGCAACTATAATATGGTTCGGTATGTTGAGCAATACCTCTGTATACCACTGCAGCTGCAGGCCACGTTAAAATGTGCTTTATCCCTCATCATAAATATTATTATTGAATGAGACGTTTACTTTTAAAGTTTATCCTCAGTTCTAGAATATTGTTATTATTATAGAAATATATAAGACGATATTTGTAAAATACACTAATTATTGGTCAGTGGTTGATATTTTTATGTTGGGGTTTACGTGGAAATAAGACGTTACCTACCTTGCATAGTACACTTAATTATAATGATTGAGAAATATAAATATCGGATAACTCACAATTATTAGAAACTATAAGTATGTTACAAATGTGTGTACATTTTTATAATTTACAGTTGGTTTGTAGATTCGCTTTTTTTATGAAATCGATAGTGGCTGTGACTTTGTGGATTGCGAGTAAGGATATTATGTTTGTATTGATAGATATTCTGGAAGTTTTGTTTTTGTTCTAAATTTGATGTATGTTCGACATTCCGGCATTGCGTGTTTGATCGACAAAAGGGTGCAGTTTATTTATTCGTAGACTTAATAATGAGGGCACTAACAAACATTTTTCCTATTAAGGTTAAATTAAACCATAAATATTACTATTATAAATTTATAACCAATAAACATTCTAATAATGTACAAAGTGCCATAACAAACAAAACATAACAAATATCACATTAAGTATGACAGATTTAAGTTTAGATGTCTACATCTAAGGCCACTAACCGGGCCACTGCTTCAGGGGTCACTTTGATGAAGTCTTCCAGCCTCCAGGTCACCATCGTAACTTCTCAAATGGCAATCCAGGATTAAGTGCTGCATTGATTGTATATTTGCGCCACAGTCGCATCCCGGACTCTCTCTGAACTTCCATTTGTACATGAGTTCGTTGCATCTGCCTTGCCCTGTGCGTATTCTGTTGAGTCCAACCCAAATTTTCTTAGGGAGGTCCATCCCTAGGACTGGAGTGCGTATGTTATCTACTTGGATTTTTCCGGGTCTCTCTCTCTCTCTCTGCCATTCAGCCTGCCACTTATCTGGAGTGTTAACCCTCGACTCAGTGATGATTTGAGCTCTTAACAAAAACTGTTTCCGTGATTATAGCCTCAAGTTAAGAATTTCGTCTTTATGAATTGGCAACTCCTGGTGTGACATTTATGATGGGCATATTGGAGGTTAATTTTTACTAAAATTTAGTTGTGTTCTATTTCCAACGTACCGATTGATCTATCAATGTAATAAGAATTCTGAAATCAGATTTTAATTTGTCGACAAGTTTACTAGGTATTGATTTTTTTTCCACATTTTTGATTTTATTTTAATAAATTATGACAAAGTTATATTAAAAAAGAAGACATTAACAAAAAGTTAATCTCAATTCTTAAGTAAATCTAATGACAGATAAATTTGTATCCATCGGATAAAGACAATATCACCGCATTCCACTCCTCTCAATACAACCATTATCTTGAATATAGGTAGATACCTATAATAATATATTATAATATATCTATTCGAAACCCTACAAGGCTTCAAATACTATACTATATTAAAATGTGCTAAGTATTAAACTAATAAATTATTGCTAATTAATAAAGTTACCGTTTGGTATTTTTAAAAAATCCATAAACCATCTCAGAAAATACGAATAATATATTTTGTATACAAAATAAAATGAAACTAAAATTTAAATAATATTTATAATATGCTATATGTTAGAAGGCAGACTATAGCTTAACCTCATTCTATGATGGCAGAATACAATAATAACCTGTAATATCCTTTATATTATTTTTTTTTTTTTTTTTTTTTAAATTGCCAAATCAATGTTCCTATGCGATATGGTTATGTAAATGTAATTGAATTCGATCGAAGAAATAATAAAATGCAATACTGTTATATAATACATTTTTTTATTCGTTAAATTATATTCAAAACACAATTTATATACAATCCTTTACCAAAAACAATAAATATCGAAATATGAAATTGAACCTTCATTTTGAACTTATAATGGATTTTTAGCTTTTTTGTGTAATGTGAGTATAAATGTATAGAATAATTCAATCCATTTTAATTAATTAAAGTTATATTTACAAAGAATACATTTAAAAAACGTCCAATTTACTAAAACGCATATAATAATACCATCACGCAACAGTCTGCATCATCATATTTTTATTACTAAATTAAACATTATATTAATTGTACATCGCCTTCTAAAAAATGGCATTGTGTGAGTACATCATCAGGATAGGAGTGTGTACAATGGTTTGAGAAATATTTTAACAAAATTCAATTTGCATTCGTTAGCACGGGAAATTCTCAAAAACATTCACCAACTTTTCTAATACTTGACTCCAAATCAGTGCTCAAAATGGACCGAAACGCACCGGAACGGCATTCCGGTTCGTAATATAAACTTTGCGTCCGTTCCGGTTAGTTAAAATTAAAATTTAAGAGTTCCGGTTCGTAAAAATCGACCGTATCACAATCTAGAGTATTAAAATTTCTTTTCGACGAAATATAATTTTAGTGTAATATATTTAATATAGAGAAAAGTTCAATTTTTATAGAAGTCCAAGAGGCTTCTCCTGACATAACGCCTGTAGTTTCTTAGTATTATCGCAATTCGCAATACAAATGTAAACGATTTAATGATCGAAAAGTACCCACAGGTTTAAGCTACAATTAAAGTCGTGATTTTAAACTTTTAAAGGCGTATTTCCGATAATGGTGAAGTCGAAAATATTAATTCAGGAGATGATAAAATACGTCACTTGTGTACCACTTTCAATTAAATAAAGAAAATTATATTGTTCAGGGTTTTCAAATATACAAATTGGAAGGAGGAAAATAAGGTGTTCCGGAAGACTTACAAATACTTTTTAAAACCGTAGCTACTATTCCTACACCTATACAAGTGAGTGTGAGCGTAATTTCAGCTCAATTAATGAAATTATAACACCCTTCAGATCTTCATTAAATATTAGTACAGTCTCTGCACTTTTATTTGTTAATTGTGTTGGCCCTTCACTCACTGAATTTCGTCCTGAAAAATACGTACGGTCATGGTTAGTCAAAGGTAGACATTCTGCTGATGACACTGCAGTCGTAAAAGTGAAAAAAAAACTGACGATAACGGTAAATATTCAGAATTATGGAAATCATTATGAACTATGTGTTAAATTTGAATTGTATCTATAACTAAATTTTTTAAGCTTAAAATTACTCATATTATTTGTATCTGTTTAACTAATTATATTGTATTGTAAAGTAAACACGAACTAAAATAAATATATTATTATCCGCATATTAATTTTATTAGCACATTTCCATTTCGAGCACTGCTCTAAATACATACATTATAAAATAAGAGATGGATTTCTGTCGAACAACCATTGTGTTTGATTTATTTTCAAGCTCGGTTTGAAGAAACTAGAAATTCAATGTCTCTGCCAAGCTTGAAAATTAATGATTAGATAAGAATTTATAAAATTGAAAAACAGCCGACTCAATAAAACTATTTGCACGGTGAATTAAGTTTTATGGGGTGACTTAACTTATATTTAATATTATATGAAATTTTGTCCTTGTCATATTATATATTGTATTATGTATATAAGAACACACGTATTTTCCATCGATCCGTAAATATTATATTCTACCTATTGAGAATTCTTATAAAAGGCTTTATAATATAAATCGAATTTAATGCCGCATGATAAAATATTCAATGATAAAAGGTAAAAGAATTTTTTATATATTTTACATTTATCAACCATCGTTTTTGATACATAAACTTTGATTTTCAAAATATAACAAGAAACTTTGTGGGACAAAAAGTTATCCAAAATAAAGTATGTTATGAATTTAAATTTAAAAGTTAAGCACAGACTAAAAGGCAGTTAATTTTAGTAATAATAATTAAAAAAAACGGCTTTCTCATTTCAATTTTCATAGAAACATATTCAAATGTTCCTTTTTTACCTTTTACTAGTTGTTGCAATGAATAAAAATATAGCCAATAGCCAAAATCAAGTTCGAAATTACCATTATGTTTAATACAATATTTCTATTGTTACGTAAATGAGGTTAGGTTAGGATTTACATAAAGGTAATACTTATATATATATTTACGTATATGCATAACACGATGTTGGTTATACTTTCTTAGATACTCCTTGGCACGGCGAACAAGCACGATTTCGGTAGTTATATTAAGATTAACCATATACGACAATCGGTTGACTTCAAGTTCATCATAATATTATATTACATGATGTAGTTTATCGTTCCACGCACTAATATGAATCTCGGACGTGAGGGTCCGGCCAACAGACTAAATTACTTTAATGCTATTTGTTGCACAGGGTCATCATAATATTCGAACACTTATCCGTGCACAATGCAATCGCGCCATTCGTCTGTTCGTAGACACTTTTGACATATTATCATACATTACTGACGACAACTATACAATAAAACTGTACATTTAGAAAAAAAAAAAAAAAAAAAAAAACAGAAATTGACATTTCGTAGGTATTTAGTTTGTTGCAAACAGGTGTCGGCCGGTGGATACGTGGTTAGGAAATTTACATCGTAAACATGACGAGCAAAGGTCTTGTGCGAACACTACAACACACACAAACACACACACACACACACACACACACACACACACACACACAAAACGCGTATGAATCGTATTTGTTTTTAGACGTGAATTTTCCGTCATACTATTTGCACAGGTTCAAAAAGGAAAACAAATTAAACCACTTCTTACGCCACGAGCACTGTCGACCCGAGAGCTGCAGGGAATCCATTATGGACGTGATATATATATATATGTATGTATGTGTATTTGGTTAGCACACGTTTTGCAGCGGAAAAACTTTAAGGTAAGGTCAGAATATCAATAGTATAAACATATACAAATGAAAATACTTTTCCTGCAGATGTGCATGGTTAAGTACATTGCATACGTGTGTACTTCTTTCTCTATCCGGTAAACTGCGCTATAAATCATCATATTATATTCTTAAGTAGGTACGATTATAATCAGTGAGACATTTTCATTTTATTTAACTTTGACTCGGTTCGTCCTCCATACCATTGTTGTTGTTCTTATTGTCTTGTGTTTTCGTTTCGATTGATTTTATTCGCTCGCGTTTACAACCGCGCTACCTGCTCTAACAAGGGTGTTATGACACAGTAAAATGATGTATCATAACTTGTTCGACGACTGATGAAATAACATACGAACCACCGTTCACCTCATAGGTAGTAGGTAGACGTCGTTTTTTCAACGAAATAGAATATTGTTCGTCCAAGTTTAAAATATAATATTATGTTTTGACCGTCAAGTGTACCTAGGTATTGTATGTTTTGTTTTCCACACCTCGTTACTCTTTTAAATTATTTTGCCACTCGTATACCATGTATCTATGGACCTATGGTAATATAAATACCATGGTGTATACGATGTGAACCTTTCCATCAAATCATACAGAGTACGTTGTATATCATTGTTTCTTCCCATATGATGCGTAACTCAGTTGGGCCTATAATAATATTTACATCGAGACGACTAGGTATTTAATTAATAATGATAGAAAAAAAAGAGTAATGACGTGTCAATATGATATCGATTGGGTCAATATACAGTATTTTCAATTTCTAAATATAGGTAACAACATTTTTGTCATCTACAACGAACGCGCATGCGCACTGTCCGTGGTTATGGTGTAGGCTTACCCCACCAATCCTACATTTTGTGTATCTACATACGGAAATAAGTTAGTTGAAATAACAAGTTTTATGAAAATAATCACAAGCACGTATCACAAGCATGGAGAAAAGTCTGTCATCGCTGTGTAAATCATCTTTTTAAGTCAATGAATAACGCAGTTCCGCACTGAATTCTCAAGTTTCACACTTGAGTTATAATAATG